AACTGATTACGGGTATAAAGCTGCTTGAGGGTATCATTTTTGTTTGCTAATTTATAAAAGTCGGAGTCTTCTATTCTAACAACAACTGCCAACACATTTCGGGCATCTGTACGGCCACGGTCAACATCAGGGACTTGTATTCGTACGGTATCACCAATTTGAGCAGAAGGAAACGGCGAAGAATTTGGTGACAGACTGTCGCCTCTCCGTCGACATCGGCTTCTCGGGTGTCGTTTCGACCTCCACCAAAGCTTATCTGTGCTTGTCGACATACACCGGCGATTGTTCGAATGTATAATAATATAACAAAATATTCGGTCTTTCACCGACGTATTTTGTATGTGTTGACATTCACCGGAGAATATTGGCATTCTCTAATTTCGGTCTTTCACAGTAACATATATATATTATATTATATTAAAAGTAATTATAAGAAATTAGTTTTCTGAAAACTAATTTCTTAAGTGTTTAATGGTCTATTTATTGTACTTTCGTTGATAATAATAATCATCACATTTTGAACAATTAGTTCAACTAGCTTAACACATTTTAGTTATTAGTTTTACAAAAGTCAAATTTTCACTGTTAATAAATTATAAGACTTCCATGAGAAAATGGTTTAATTCCTTTCTTTAGGAAAAATTTCTCTCATCATTTTCTATGATATCACATGACTAACTTTAATAGTTAGTTTTCTTAAATTTATTTTTGAGTGGTTGTGATTAAACATCATGCCAGGAGGAATTGAGAGGAGAAAAAAATTCCTAAAATTTATTATTATGCTGGTGGGTGGCATAGCTGGTCTTCTTAATAGGTCCATAACAGCAATCATGTTTGGAAAAAGGGAAATTATGTACAGAACAAAAGATTTGGTCAGGGGAAATCACTATTCTCACATGATTACAGGAGTTTTTTTGATCTGGCAACTCAACAGAACATGTTTGCAAGAGAGATTTCATGTGAAATTGGGGCAAAAGTTTCACATGTAATTGTTTGGAAAACATTAAGGAAAAACAAGCATGCAAGTTACATAAAACTAAAGGGTAAGTCCAAATTGACTGAGACATATAAACAAGCAAGGTAGGAATGGGCCAAGAAGTCCTGGACAAAACAGTGGAACAATGTGATGTTTTGACAAAAAGAAGTTTAATCTTGACAGATGGGAATAATGCATATTGGCATGATTTGTGCAAAGCACCTAGGGAATTTTTTAATAGACAAATAGATGGAGATGGCATCATGGTTTGGGGAGCATTCTGTTATGATGCTAAACTTGTTCTTGTTAAAGTTAGCATTAAATTAAAATTGAAAATTATCAGGTGTTATTGGAAAAACATTTTTTCCCATTTAGATCGCATTTTAGAGGAAGGAAATGGTACTACAATAAGACAATGCCACCTGCCATAACTCAAAGGCAACTCAAGACTGGTTTAGGGCAAAGAAAATTTATTTTTTTACATTGGACATCAAAAGTTTCGACTTAAAATTTCCAAAAGTTTTCAATGGAATTTAAGTCAAAGTATATGCAAACAATTGCCAATTTTCAAGTGTTTGAGAACTTGAATGTGAAATTATGCACCAATGGCATAATAAAATTATTGACAATGAGCTATTGAAAAAATTGGTAGAATCAA